ATTTTATTATTTTTATAGATGAGGTCTCACTCTGTTGCCCCAGCTGGGTGCAGTGGCATGATCATAGCTCACTGGGCTCAAGTGATCCTCCTGCCTCAGCCTCCCTAGTAACTAGGACTACAGGCACATGCCACCACACCTGGCTAATTATTTTAATTCTTTGTAGAGACAGGATCTCATTTTGTCACCCAGGCTGGTCTTGAACTCCTGGTCTCAAGCAGTCTACCCACCTCAGCTTCCCCAAGTGCTGAGATTACAGGCATGAGCCACCTACACCTGGACTAATACTGTAATTTTACTGTAGCTTTTCTATGTTTAGATACACAAATACCTATCACTATGTTACGGTTGCCTACAGTATTCAGTACAGTAACATCTCTATGGGTTTACAGCCACGAGCAATAGGCTCTACCATAAAGCCTGGGTGTGTAGTGGGCTGTACCATCTAGGTTTGTGTAAGTGCATTCTGTGATGTTTGCTTGACAATGAAATCAACTAATTATGAAATCACCTAATGATACATTTCTCAGAATGTGTCTCTTTTTTTAAGTGAAATATTACAAAATTTATTTATTTAAAGTATTTTAAAATCATTGGCTTAGCTGGGCGCGGTGGCTCACGCCTGTAATCCCAGCACTTTGGGAGGCCGAGGTGGGCAGATCACGAGGTCAGAAGATCAAGACCCTCCTGGCTAACATGGTGATACCCCATTTCTACTAAAAATACAAAAATTTAGCCAGGCGTGGTGGCGGGCACCTGTAGTCCCAGCTACTCAGGAGGCTGAGGCAGGAGAATGGCGTGAACCTGGGAGGCAGAGCTTGTAGTGAGCCGAGATTGGCGTCACTGCACTCCAGCCTGGGCAACAGAGACTCCATCAAAAAAAAAAAAAAAATTAATGGCTGGGCACCGTGAGTTATGCCTATAATCCCAGCAATTTGGGAGGCTGAGATAGGACAATTGCTTGAGGCCAGGAGTTCAAGACTAGCTTGGGCAACATAGTGAGACCCCATCTCTACAAAAAATTTTAAACTACACATTAGCTAGGCATGGTGGCATGCACCTGTAATTCCAGCTATTCAGGAGGCTGAAGCAAGAGGGTCACGTGAGCCCAGAAGTTCAAGGCTGCAGTGAACCATGACTGTGTCACTGCACTCCAGCCTGGATGACAGAGCAAGACTCTTTTTAAAAATAGCCAGGCGTGATGGCTCTCACCTGTAATCCCAGCACTTTTGGAGGCCAAGATGGGCAGATTGCTTGAGTTCAGGAGTTTGAGGCCAGCCTGGGCAACATGGCAAAACCCCAACCCTACAAAAAACAAAAAAAACAAAAAACAGCCAGGTGTGGTGGCGCACACCTACAGTCCCAGGTTCTTTGGAGGCCGAGGTGAGAGAATTGCTCAAGCCTGGGAGGCAGAGGTTGCAGTGAGCTGAGATCACACCACTGCACTCCAGCCTTGGGTGACAGAATGAGACCTGTCTCAAAAAACAAACAAATAAATAAATAAATATAATTTAAAAATCATTAATTGCCAGTTACGATGAAAATTTAAAACTTTTTAAAAATTTAGTCTGATGGCATTGTACCACTGTGCATGTGCTCACGTAACACTACTACTAATTACCCTGACAGGCACATGCAGATGGAGGAACTTCCCTAAAAGCAAGTTTAAGGGATTAAATATCATCTGTGTCATCATATCCTCCTCTTTTCCCTTCTCTTCCTCCTTGTCATCACTACTGAGGACAGCACTGCTGCCTGTGCCCAGGGTCCTTTCTTCCTCAACGCCCCCAGCACCACCCAAAGTCCCCCTCTGTGGAATCGAAGCACTGAGTGTGTTGGCCTCAGGGACACTGAAGGAAGCCGCCCGTCCTCTCAGCCTTGGAGTCTGCTCAACCATATCATTCAAAGCACCTTCCATCAAAGGTTTGAATACAGTGAGCAGCTGCTCCTGCGTGCCCCCATGACACAGGTTTACCAGCCAGGTGTCTGTCAAAGAGCATGAGCCTCCGCGTTGGTCCAAACTTGACTGTCCTTGAAGGTCTTCTCTGGCCATCCTCAAAATTTACAGGATGAAATGTGTTCGATGAGGACAACTCACTCATGTCATGGCGTTTGGATGGCCCGCGGCGTGGCCGCTTCTGCTGTAGAGACAGAGCCTTCCTGTGGTTCGTGTATTTCCTTCCTGAAGCCTCGTATTTCCCATTCCATTGAAACTTGGCCACCTCAACCTACAACGTGCAGTTTCTAATGTCCCATCTTCATCCAAACGCATGAATGCAAGATCCACAGCCTCCCTCTTCCAACGATCCCAAAGCCCGTCTCCTTTAAGATGTCCTTGGTTATCTTTGTAAAACTTGACCTTTGGTTCCTCTGTCTGGGGATCGCTCGTGAGGATACCAAATGGACAGGCGTGTGAATGCCTCCACGGTAATGTCGAGAGGCAAACCGGCACATACACATTTGTATTTCTTCTTCTTCAGCATGAAGCCTTCCTTTTTCTCCCCTCTTTGTGGGATCAGTGGATTTGGGGTTTTTCTTGGTGGCAGTTTCTCAGTGTTGCAATCGTGTGTTTGCAGCAGAGCAGCGCCATCACCGAGCAGCCATCGTTGGCCTGATATGTAGTGGTGAAATCTTCACTGGTTTCTCTTCTGCTCCTGGACTTGCAGAAACCGGCCTGGCTCTTGATTGGGACTGTAGGCTCAAGAGGCTGGGGAAGGACAGACAGCCCCAGGAGAAATGCCAGGAAGGGGTGGCTCCCTCGTGCTCCTCAATGCCTCAGTGTTTTGGCCACATAGCTCCCCTCCTCCACGCTCGCTCAGCAGGCTGCATCCAGGGCGGGGCTGGCAGGCAAAGAGGCTGTGTCACAGCCCTTCAGAGCCTCAAGCTGGGGTCCCTAGGGTTGCTGGACCTCAGATCACCGTGAGGTAGGAAGCCCTCCACCCTCCCTCCCGCAACCCCGAAGCGTGGCAAAGTGCGTTCTCTAACTGCCGAGGGGGCCTGTCCCTTCCCGTGTGGGCTGAGAGGATGGGAAGTTCCTGAAATCCAGCTGCTCTGAGAGCCGGTGCTGTCACCTTGGCCTGAGTATGCTGAAGACATTAATTCTGGTTCCCAAGCAAAACTGTTAGCAATTCGAGGGCTGGGCTCTAGCCTGTATCTCATTTCCCATAGTACCGGGCACCCTGATAGATTTTCTGCCGGTTTTTAAGTTTGTTTGTTTGTTTGTGAGATGGAGTTTTACTCTTGTTGCCCAGGCTGGAGTGCAATGGCACGATCTCAGCTCACCGCTACTTCTACCTCCCTGGTTCAAGCGATTCTCCTGCCTCAGCCTCCCGAGTAGCTGGGATTACAGGCATGCGCCACCATGCCCAGCTAATTTTGTATTTTTAGTAGAGACAGGGTTTCTCCATGTTGGTCAGGCTGAATTCGAACTCCCAACCTCAGGTGATCCGCCCACCTTGGCTTCCCAAAGTGCTGGGATTACAGGTGTGAGCCACCATGCCCGGCCGGTTTTTAAGATCTTATTGCTGAAAAACTTAAAATGAAAATAAATTCAGTATCAGCAGGGCAGCAGGAATTGCCATTTAAAAAAGAAAGAAAATTGGACATGACTGCAGCCAGGTGTGTGTGATTGAGCCTGTGACCTTTTTCTTAGGCAAACAGGGCTTTGTGGGTTCAGAAAGTCTTCGGTTGTGCAGTTTGTCTCAGAGCCTTGCATGGGCGGAGGCTGGTAAAAACAGGAAAGAGACTCATGTTGCTCAATGTGAGAAAGCACCAGGAATTTTGGAGAAGTTCCCGGCAGCTCAGGAGAGTGGATGGTGCCTTGTTCCAGGGCAGAGGGAAAGAAGCACAGGCCTATTTCTTTCTCAAGAGGGCAAAACCAAGCCCCAGAAAATGGCAGTAAGATGGGGATGTAGAAAAAAAGCTAGCTAACGAACAGGTCAGCAGTGGACACTGTGTGGGAACCTCTCCTAAGCCGCCCTCCCTCTGATGGATGCATGCTCAAGTGATTTTGCTGGCCCGTAAAGGAAAGTGTTATTCCATCCTATCATCCTAGCACTTTGAAAGGAGGCTGAGGCGGGAGGATCACCCGAGGTCAGGAGTTCAAGACCAACCTGGCCAACATGGTGAAACCCCGTCTCTACTAAAAAATACAAAAATAAGCCGGGCGTGGTGGCACATGCCTATAGTCCCAGCTACTCAGGAGGCTGAGGTGGGAGAATCACTTGAACCTGGGAGGCGGAGGTTGCAGTGAGCCAAGATCGCCCCACTGTACTCCAGCCTGGGCAACAGAGTGAGACTCCATCTAAAAAAAAAAAAAAAAAAAAAGGAAAGGAAAACAATGATAAAAGTGTTGCAAGACTCTCGGCCTCAAGGTCATGTGGATTGCACCGAACAAAGCACCATGCCAGGACGGTATCATCAGCTCGTGCAGCTGAGAGCTATCCGGCAGAGAAATACAAGCACTCTGAACACAACTGGACCTTTAGCCAGGTAATTCCATGTGCAGAAAGGGATTCTAGGGAAATATAGAGAAAGTAAACACTATCTTGCAAATTAAATGTTTTGATTTTAGCAATGCTGATCATAAGTGAGAAGCAGCAGCTAACATATGTTGGGTGCTTACTCGAGGTGCCAGGGCTGATGTAGTCTTTACGTGTGTTAGTGGCCCACCTAGTCCTCATAACAGCCCTCAGAGCAAGAGCTATTGCTGTCTCCACTTGACAGGTGAGGAGGCTGAGGCAAAGTTAGCTAAGACATTTGCCCAAGGAGGCCAGGCGCAGTGGCTCACGCCTGTAATCCTAGCACTTTGGGAGGCCAAGGTGGACAGATCATGAGGTCAAGAGATCGAGACCATCCTGGCCAACATGGTGAAACCCTGTCTCTACTGGAAATACAAAACTTAGCTGGACATGGTGGCACACACCTGTAATCCCAGCTGTTCGGGAAGCTGAGGCAGGAGAATGGCTTGAACCCGGGAGGTGGAGGTTGTAGTGAGGTGAGATCGTGCCACTGCACTCCAGCCTGGCCACAGAGTGAGACTCCATCTCAAAAAAAAAAAAAAAAGACATTTGCCCAAGGGTCACAGCTGTAGAGGGGCTGATGTGGTTTGATTCCAGGGTGTCTGGTTCCTCTCTGGAAGCAACCAAAGTGCCTGTGATTGGGGTAGTGACGAAGCACTCTGGGCTGCTACAGGGCAGATACTGTGAAGAGTCATCTTTGCCTGTCCCATATCTATTCCCATTCCTTCTGATGGCAACACCTTGGTTTTTTTTTGCGTGTGGGGGAACCAGGTCCTTTCACCAAGCTGTGTGGTGTTCATAGGGATAGCCCCTCCTCCGAACCCAGGAGTGGCAGTTCACAGCCCTGACTGATCACAGTGTTCCGTGGCCTAGCCCAGGCACTGCCTAACCACCCCAGGCAGTGGGACTGAACTCAGGGGTTCACTGGACCTATCAGGAAAGAGAGACCTGTCTTGCTTCTGGACTTGGAGCTGTGATGAGGCAAGTGGGTCAGGGGCCAACACATTGAGAGCGTTGGCCCACAAACGCGCCCAGGCAGAGAACGGTGCGGCCAAGCCACACAGAGAGACAACTCCCTAGTGACACGCTGTGAACACCTGCAGCCACCCCTGCCTGAACTGGAGCTTTTCCTCTTCAACTCTTCAGTTATGTGAGGCAAGATGTTGCCTTTTTTGCTTAGTGCTGTGAGTTGAGTGTATAGCAGTTACAATCAAAGAATCCTGAATAATGCTGCAAGCATGGTGACTATCTACATGGGAATATGCAGTACTCCAGTGAAAACAAAACAAATTAATTTTGGAATCTGATGACCATAATCGAAAAACATTCATGGAGGTATATAAAAATTATAACAAAATTGAAAGTAGCATATCTCCTCATGAAGCAGGTTAAGTGTATACACAAAGGAGGAGGAGGAAAAGGTGAGGAAGAATCTGCCCTTGTGGGGAAGTGACAGAGGGAGAAGAGGCTGATGCAGTCCTGCATCCAGGCCCAGCTCTGCCAGCAGCTGCGTACCCCTGAACAAGCCCCCCCACCTCTTCGGGCCTCAGTTTCCCCGTCTATGAAAGAAAAGGAGTCTGGCTTCCATAGCTGCCCCACCTGATATGCTAGGTGCCAGCGCGTCCTCAGTCCTGTCACGAGAAGCCTTCCCTCTAGGATCCCAGGAGGAGCCTGAAATCCTGTCTGGGATCCCGACGGCCCAGGTGCTGACCCTGCCTCGGGTTGTGTCTGCTGGGAAGTCTGATTTCTGCTCATCTCTCCCCATTTCTTTCTTCCCGTACAGTGGGCTGATATGCTGGAACGTCGATGCAGCCAGTGATGTGTTCGATGAGAATGTATTGAGGGTAAAGCTGGTCAGAATCCAAGTGTGTGTCATCTGAACTCTTGAATCGTGGATGGAAGGTATGTCCCTCTGTTGATGTCTTGCAGCCTGAGTTGACAATCTGTAAGAAGGTTTTGTTATCTCCATGTTACGGACAGTGAACCGAAACTTACAGAGCTTAAGTCACTTGACCCAGGCTCCACCCCTACAAGAGGCAGCGTGGAAACTAAAACCCAGGCAGCCTTTTCCAAAGCTTGTGCTCTGCTCCACTGGGGGAAGGAGCCCTTCGGGGAACTGAAGCAGCACGGAACAAAGGTCATTTTCAAGAAGCGACCCTTAAAGACTCTCCTGGGGAGGTCGCAGTGAGAACAGCAGAAACCTAAGGCGGGGTCCCCGGGTCTACAAGGGCCTCAGGTTTTGTGGGTCAGAGATTCTTCTGTGTCATGGCTGGGTGAGGTCAAAAACCACACAGAGACTTTCACTTCCTGTCCGTGGCAGACAAGACTTCTGAAAAGCTCTCCTGAAGCAACACTTCTAGATGCCAAGTAAATCACAACAAATATACTTTTAAATGTGTTACTAAGATCATAAAAAGTGAAGGAAAATACCCAAGCGTATCCCCCACCCCTCACCCCACCACCCCCATCACCACAACAACAATAAACAAGTTGCTGCCAGCGGACTGGAAAACAAGTGTGGAACCTTAGGCTGCGTCGGCATCAAATACTGGCACAAATAACCGAGCGAAAGGGAGTAAGACCAGGCCTGGGGCTGCACCATGTGGGCAGCGGAATCAAGACTTTGTAGAGGGGCTCCAAGGTGGGTAGAAAAATACGTTCGCCCTTACAGGGAGACAGGCAGATAGCTTATCTCCGTCTCAGCTCTGGGTGGAAAAATAAACCCCTCCTATTCCATAGGGTCTGGATTTGGAATTTATTCTACCCACATCCACAAGTCAGCAAAATCTAAAGAAGTTAAGTGATCCCAAGTGATAGCAACCTTCAGTATAGTAAGTAATTTAAGTAAACACACATTCTCTCTGGAGAAAAACATGGCCTCATGCCTATCAGGATGCCCTTTGATCAAGAGGAGTCTAACATATGCCCTCTAAAATGACCAAACACATGAGGAAACAAACATGATTGGAAATAAAAACACTAAGCAATAGATTTAATCACCTACGATCTTCAAATATTGGCATTATGGGACACATGACACAAAATAACCACGTATAAAATGTTTAAAGAAATAAAGACATTCGAAAGTGACCAGATTTAAAACACAACTGAAAGGAACGTCTAGAATTGAAATACATAAACATTGAAATTAATGACTGAATAAATTAAACAGTAGATTAGCAGCCAGGCACGGTGGCTTACACCTGTAATCCCGGCACTTTGGAAAGCCAAAGTGGCAGGACAGCTTGAGAACAGAAGTTTGAGACCAGTCTGGGCGACATAGCAAGACCTCATCTCTACAAAAATTAAAAATAATTAGCTGCCTGTGACGGTGCTTGCCTGTAGTCCCATCTACTTGGAAGGGTGAGGTGAGAGGATCCCTTGAGACCAGGAGTTAAAGGCTGTGGTGAGCTACGATTGCACCGTACTCCAGCCTGGGTGACAGAGTGAGACCCTGTCTCAAAAGTAAATAAATAACAATATAGCCTAATTTATAGGGTTAAAAAGCAGATAAAACTATAATCCTGGGCAAAAATAACATATAGAGGGTATAATCCAAATAAAAACAGTCAGTTCTTTTTTCAGGGAGGGGGGATAATGCTAATGATTTAGATTTTTAAGTGGTATATGTATATTCAAGTTTCTAGGATAAGTATTAAAACAATAGAAATTGAGGTCAAATTAGTAGAGGAGAAAAATGGAATAAGAAAAAATGCTATCATCCAAAAGAAGACAAGAATGAAGGGAAAAAAATCAACAGTAAAAGAAGGACAAATTGGCGATGCAAAATACAATGGTGGAAAAAAAAATCCGAATATATCTGTAATCACAAAAAAGGTCAATGGACAAAAATATCAGTTAAAAGAGTCTAGCTGGATAAAAAGCTTAAATTTAGCTACCTTCAGTTTACAAGAGATATATCTAAGCCATCTACACAAAAAGTTAAGGGTAAAAGGATGTAAAAAGATATACCACGCAAATACTCAAAAGCAGGTAGGATCATTGTATTAATATCAAGCACAAATAGACATTAGAGAAAAATCATGATTAGGAATAAAAAAGGTCTCTGTGTAATGATGAATGTATCAATTCAATATGAAGTTACACCAATTCCAAACTTGGTATGCATTAATAAACAGCTTTGAAGTATATAAAGCAAACACTGAATTATGAAAAGAAATTGACAAATCCACTCTCAGAGTGGTAGATTTCAGGACACATCTCTTAGTAAGTGGTAGTCAAATGGATGCCATTAAAATAATAAATATTGGCCAGGTGCGGTGGCTCACGCCTGTCATCCGATCGCTTTGGGAGGCCGAGGTGGGCGGATCACCTGAGGTTGTGAGTTTGAGACCAGCCTGACCAACATGGAGGAAACCCCGTCTCTACCAAAAATACAAAATTAGCCAGGTGTGGTGGCACATGCCTGTAATCCCAACTACTCAGTGGACTGAGGCAGGAGAATTGCTTGAACCTGGGAGGCAGAGGTTGCGGTGAGCCAAAATTGCACCATTGCACTCCAGCCTGGGCAACCAGAGCAAAACTCTGTCTAAAAAAATTTTGAACAAAATTGATCTCATAGGTATAAAAAAATCACTGCACCCAGCAGTGTAGACAATACCAGGTGTTAGTAAGACTGTGGGTCAACAGATGAATTCATAGTCCACTGGTGGGTAGTGTCCATTGTTCAAAAATTGACTGTAAAATTGAGCATTTACACATCTCACTATACTACCCAATTAACAAATAATTAACTACAGGTCCACACATCAAGATGTGTATATTTCATAGTTATAAAGTTGAGTGAAAAATACAGGTTTTAGATATCACTCAGTTCAAGTATAAAAACATACCAAATAAAAAATCACCTGCCAAATTCATGTGGAAAAGTATAATTAAATATTCAGAATAGTAATGTGATGGGAGGGGCACACAGGTCTTTAAAGGTATTTTTAATGATCTATGTCTTCAGCTAAATGGTGAGTATTCAAGTATTCATTTCACTGTCATGTATAAATCAATTTCTATAAAGCTTACTTTTATACATGTGAAATAGTTTGTGATAAGAAAGAGTAATAATAATAAAATAAATCTGGATGCATGTTGTGTTAAAAATCCTCTTGGCCAGGCACAGTGGCTCACACTTGTAATCCTACCACTTTGGGAGGCTGAGGTAGGGGAATTGCTTGAGCCCAGGAGTTGGAAAACAGCCTGGGCACCATAGCGAGACCCCATCTCTACAAAATATATATATTTTTTAAGTTAGCTGAGCATAGTAGTGCACGCCTGTGGTCCCGGCTACTTGAGAGGCTGAGGTGGGAGGATCACTTGAGCCTGGAAAGTTGAGGCTGCAGTGAGCCATGATCACACCACTGTACTCCAGCCTGGGTGATAGAACGAGAACATGTCTCAAAACAAAACACCACTCGTTCCCCTGTAAAAACAAACCTCTTGAGGCCTACCACTGAGGCAGGGCATGTTGCTTTGGGGACAACAGCTGAGTCAATGGACCTGAAAGAGTCAATGGACTCCTCAGGAGTGTGAGCCCTGAGCACTCAAGGGCATGTCCACCCTAGTGGACCCATGTCCACGAGCCCGTGCAGGATGTAAACTCAACAGTGACCCCAGAATGGCAGGGTCAAAGCACCCGTGCTCGTGGTTACATCAGACTTTGCTATCAGTTCACCTCTCAAGGTTTGAAAGAAAACACTCAGCATTCTTATGCTATTAAGGGTGGAAGGGTGGTTATTAAGGGCATTTAGGGACCAATGAGATTTACTGGATTTTGTTTCCGTTTTTGTTCTGAGGCAAGGGTTTCACTCTGTCACCCAGGCTGGAGTGCAGTGGCGCGATCATGGCCCACTGCAGCCTGGACCTCCCAGGATCTGATCCCCACTCCTGTGCCGCAGGACGCCAGGTGCATTGAGGTCGGGCTGGCTGTCACGAATATGCCTCTGAGCTGCACGGGCTGCAGGTGGCAGCAGAGCCCTGGGACAACCTCACAGACCCGCCCCACCGAGGCTGGCTCCTATAGAGGATGTTGCTGGCCTATCTATCAAGGGCTCCTCCTTTTTGCGATATTCAGGCTGGTGCCATAAATTAAATTCTCAGGAAAAGAAATTAAGCTACTTTTAGAAGACATGAAACATGGACTCTGGGGATCAGGATTAAAAACCTTAACAATAACATTGCTTAATTCTCAACTCCTATTGTTGGTAGGATGGACTGAAACCAGTGATTTTAGTGTTATGTACAATATTTTTTCCTTTTGAAGGGCCTGAACAGATGGTTCCAAATCCAGACTCTGTCATTATAATCGCAGTTGCCCTAGCTCACACTTCAGCGTTTTGCCTTTCATTCAACTCTCTCTGGCACAGAAGCTGTTTGTCTATTTGTCTTCCAGAAAGACGAGAAGTCTTCTAGGGATTTCTGAAATGAGAATGCGCCACACTAGGGGTGGGTGAGGTGCCCACATAATCGAAGCCGTAAGACATTGCCACAGGCAGATTTCTCCCCGTTACCTGTATCACCACCCAAAGAGGATGGGCCTCAGGCTCCCGGGATATGTGGCCATTCTTTCTGCTTTGTGTTAGGTACCAAATTCCCCTGTGCTTGGAGGAGAAGAAAACCTAAACATTCTTATGATCAGATTGATATTTGTCAGGGTTGGACTGTGGCTAAGAGCAAAAATCAGTGCCCTGGTGAATTCAACATGCAGCATGAACTATTATTATTCTCAGAAGGACAAGGCTAAAACCTCTCACCTAGAATAGCCACATTATGTCAGACTTTTCTTAAAGTTTAGTAATTTCATTTGGAAAGGGCATAGATTTATTCCATCTTATTTTCCAAGACTGTGTATTGTAACATTAGCTGAAAGTAAACCTTATAAATTATCCCTGAAAATAGTGTAAAATGATCACCATTTTAAGAGTATGTACTAAAAGTCTTATTTTTCAGCTTTGACTACAGTGATGCATTTGCTAATGGTATTCTTCTTCCCTGAATTATGACTAAGAGGAACTTTTTTCCCATGAGGTTCTTTCGCTGCTCGTGACTTAGGTAAGAAAGTAGTCATCATTTACATGCCCTCTTGTGTACATCTATGTGCATCCTCGAATAACATGGGTGTGGGTGAACTGAGCAGGCAGGGTTGCACAGTCACCGTGTCTGATTTACATGCCATGGACTTTGAGCCAAGGGTTATAAGGAAAGACATCGCTGGCGAGTTACTGGATTAATTAACGTCTTAGTCTCTTCTTTAAGGATTCCCTTTCTTTCTTTATAAGAAACTGTCCAACTATGACCACATATTGAATGGCAGAACAAGGGCCAGGAATAGGGGTTTAGAGAAAGGAACTAATGGTACTCCTTAACATTTCCAAGATATAAATATACACCCATAGTTCAAGTGTAGACAAATGAATGCCCTCAGCCACTACTCAGGAGGTACGTGCCAAGCTCATACACCTGAGATGCATTTTCATCATTACTAGACTAAAACAACCTTGTCCAGGTGTGGTGGCACACACTTGTAATCCTAGCACTTTGGCAGGCCAAGGCAGGAGGATTGCTTGAGCCTGGGAGTTCAAAACCAGCCTGGGCAACATAGTGAGACCCAGTCTCTAGTTTAAAATAAAAGAAATAAACAATTTCATCTGGCTCCAAATTTGGCACTGGTCATATTTGCCTTTCTCAATATTTTCTGAATGTCAAGTACAGATTTCTTAATAGAGTGTCCTAGTCAGTTCTAGCTGCTATAACAAAATACCATAGACTGGGTTGCTTATCAACATCAGAAATTAATTTGTTACAGTTCTGGATGTTGAAAGTCCGAGATCAGGGCGCCAACACAGTCCAGTCCTGGTGAGGGCCGTCTTCCAGATTACATGCTGCCAACTGCTCGTTCTATCTCACATGGGGAAATAGGGTGAGATCTCTCTGAACGGCTGGGACTACAGAAATGCACCGTCACGCCTGGCAAATATTATCTTTTATTTTTTGTAGAAGTGGGGTCTGGTTTCTCTATGTTGCTCAGGCTGTTCTCAAAACTCCTGGGCTCAAGCGATCCTTCTGCCTTGGCCTCCCAAAGTGCTGGGATTACAGGGGAGAGCCACCATGCCTGGCCACTTAAAATTGTTGAGTTTTATCATATGTAAATGATTCCCTGTAGTGGGATGAATTGTATCCCCCTCAAAAGGCATGCACGAGTCTTAACCTTTGATACCTAAGAATGTCGTATTTGGAAACACAACATAAGATCGTATTTAGAAACAAGGTCTTTGCAGGCATAAATAAGTTAAGGATCTCAAGATGAGACCATCCTGAATTTAGGGTGGACCCTAAACCCAATGGCTGTGTTGTTATAAGAGAAAGCAGAGAGAGATTTGAGACCCAGAGAAGCCCCCAAGGGGAAGGCCATGTGAGGATGGAGGCAGAGACTGTAGTGAGGCTGCAAGCCAAGGGCGCTGATGATTACCTACGCCCACTAGGAACCAGGAGAGAGGCATGGAACAAATCTACCCTCACAGCCTCCAAAAGGAACCAGTCCTGTTGACATCTTGACTTCAGACTTCTGGCCAGATCTATAAGACAATAAAATTCCGTCATTACAAGAAGGAAAGGAAACAGAAAAAACAAAACCAAAACCAAAAGTACCCTCCAATGATCAATCACAAATATTCTAGAAACCAGGGGAAAGGAAAAAGTCTCAGTAAAGAAATGGAAGATATGAAAAAGAAACAGGCCAGGCACGATAGCTCACACATCTAATCCCAGCACTTTGGGAGACCAAGGTGGGAGGATCACTTGAGACCCGGAGTTCAAGACCAGCCTAGGTAACGTAGTGAGAACCCATCTCTATGAAAAAAAAAAAAAAAAAAAAAAAAAAATTAGGTTGGTGTGGTGACACGTGCCTGTATTCATAGCTACTTGGGAGACTGAAGCAGGAGGATTGCTTGACCCCAGGAGTATGAGGCTGCAGTGAGCTGTGATCACGCCACTGCACTCCAGCCTGAGTGACAGAGTTATACTGTCTGGAAAAGGAAAATAAAGGAAAAAGAAGCAAATGGAAATTTTACAACTGAAAAATACAATAACCAAAATACAGTCTCAAACTCCAAACAACATAAACCAAAAGAAATACACATCCAGATATATCATAGAGAACCACATGAAAGTAAGGATAAAGAAAAACTGTTGAAAGCAGTCAAATAAAAAATATACATCTTACCCATAGGGGAACAACAATTCAAATGGCTGTAGATTTCTCATCAGAAACCATTTATCTCAGCAATACCTAGAACTAGAGACAGAAAATCATCAAGGAGATGCCATTCCATCATTGGTGTGATTGGGATGTGTGTCCCTTACAAATCTCATGTTAAAATGTGACCTCCAATGTTGGAGATGGTCCTAGTGGGAGGTGTTTGGGATGTGGGGGCAGATCCATCGTGCATGGCTTGGTGCCGTTCCCTTGGTGATGAGTGAGTTCTCACTCTATTATCCAGTTGAAACAGCTTATATATTATCCAGTTCACATAACAGCTGATTGTTTAAAAGAACCTGACACCTCCTCCCTTCCGTCTCTCTTCCTCCCTCTCTCACCATGTGATAAACTGGTTCCCCTTGCCTTGTGCCATGATTAGAAGCTTCCTGAGGCCTCCCCAGAAGCCAAGCAGACGCTGGGGCTGTGCCTGTACAGCGTGCAGAACCATGAACCACATAAACATCTTTTCTTTATAAATTACCCAGCCTGAGATATTCCTTTATAACAATGCAAAGCAGACTAACGCAATCATTAATCAACTAGATCTAATTAACACGTATATTACGCTCCATCCAACAATGACCGAATACACATTCTTTTTAAACACACTTGAAACATTTTCCAAGATAGATCATATCCTGCAGCTTAACAAATTTAGGAAAATTGGAATCATACAAAATATGTCATTTGACCATAATAGAATTAAACTATAAATCAATAAAAGGAAGACAATAGAAGAAATACCACACACTTGGAAATTAAACATACTTATAAGTGACCCATGGGTCAAAGAAGTCTTGAGAGAGATTAGAAGTATTTTTAACTGAGTGAAAATGAAAATACAACATATGAAAATATGTAAGATGCAACTAAAGTGGTCCTTCCAGGGAAATTCATGGCATTAAAAGGCTTACATTAGAAAAGGAGGTCTTGAATCAATAATATCAGCCTACACCTTAAGAAATAAACAAAGAAGAGTAAAACACAGCCAACACAAGCAGAAGGAAGGAAATCAGAAACAGGAGTAGAAATCAATACAATTGAAAACAGCAAACAGTAGAGAAAATGAAATGAAAACAAAAGCTGATTCTTTGAAAAGGTCCATGAAACTGATAAATCTCTATAAAGATTGATCAAGCAAAAAAGAAGACACGAATTACCGATATTAGAAATGCAAGGCGGGAGATCACTACGGACCTGTAGACATTCAAAATCTAATAAGCTAACAAAAGAATACTGTGGAGTCCTAATTAGAGAAAGGGAGTCAGGCTGGCAGGTCCAAGGGAAAGCAAAAAGAGAAAGCAGGTAAGTTACAATGACATTTCAGTGGTCCTCCCGGGATCTCTCTTTCTGTATAGGGGCACACTCTCCTCATGGGGAATTCTCTTCCCTCTCTCTTTCTCTTTCCCAAGTCAGGAACCTCGGTGGACGGTGTCTAAGCACAGAGACAGCTGCAGGTCTCTGGCCGGGGCTATACTCCCGTGGGACTGAAAGGTGCCTGTGTGGAAATGTCTGATCGCCACTGTCCAGTTCAGGTAAGGGACCTAAGTCCTTTTCTCTTTTCAGTCTTTCAGCTGCTGTTTCTTAATAGCTCTTTGGTAATTGAGGGTAACTGGCAAGGGCCACTGTCCGGTGTTGCCTGAAGGCCAAAGCGTGAATGGGGTCAGCTGCCCTGCCCAGAAGGGGAGAAGGCTCGCCTCTCTTTTCTGATTGTAGTCTCTACGTGTGATGCAATTGACATGGAAGCCCGCTCAGGGCAAATTCACACATGTTTCAGGTGACTCAGACCCTCTGTCTCAGTCCAAATTCTGGAGAGTCACCCAGCCATCCTGTTCCAGATGTTGCCAAATTAGGTAATTTCAGACAGCCTCAGAATAGTGATCCCCTGCCCGCTCCCTTTCCTGGGCCAGCACCGGTGGAGATCGTCCTGCACCCTTCCTTCCTCATACCTGGGCTGATCACCCGGCGTGAGTGAGAACCTGGACTGGCTGTCCAGCCGTAGGGCCCCCTGGATGATCTTTACTAGTAGCTGGGATGCCCCTTTATAAAGTGCACGCCAAGTCCCTGAGCAGACGTCCGTGGAACTTGGCATACATCTCGGCTTTCGTCTTGGCAGGATGTCCCAAGCAGAAGTGCGGTTCATGACCCTGAGTGGCAGTGCCCCTGAGGCGTGTGTTTTCCAGTTCCACTGTGGGACACACCCCGTCTATTCCTTCAGATTCACCGCTAGGCTGCATCCTAAACCATTAAGACAAATTTAACCCTCAGACTCTCAAAAAAAAAAATATCTAATTTTCTTTTGTAACACAGCATGGCCCCTATTCAGGAAATCCTCAAATTAACCTCCTCAGTCTTTATAATCAAAAGCAAAATAAGGAAAACAGGGCTAAGAAAAAGAAAAAAACAAAAATGCAGGGACAAGAGGCAGACTCAATGGCTGGCTGCTTTACAAGCCCACAGCTTCTCCGGGTTTCCCTAAGGACACTCCTCCAAATAACTGCCATCTGCGCAAAAGGTCAGGCCACTAAAGGGCAACTTACCCCATAAAATAAATGGGGAGAAGCTGTGCACACCTTACTCACTCTGCCACAAGCTTGGCCTCTGGAAACAGGATTGCCCTGAAAGCTGAAGGACCCCCAGAACAAAAATTCAACCCCCAGTGGCTTTAATCCAAAGGCGCTCTCTGCTCCAGCTAAAAGCAGCGCACCTTAACGAGTACCCTGTGGAGGTGGGACACATTTGTTCCACATTCTGCGGGTCTGAAGTGCTGAAGCTCTCCGTGACGGAGACAAAGTGGAAAAGAGTGCTAGCTCCACACCGTGCAGTAGCTGGGAGGCTCACAGACCCTCCTGTAAAGCTGAACCCTTGCCTCTCCATTCTTTCTTTTCCTTTTCTCTTTTTCTGTTCAATCCAAAGATCCAGCCTTAAAAGGGAAAGACGATTTCTAACATCCTAATCTTTGATTTTATTGTTCTCTTTAAAACCCCAGCTGCTTGCATATTGTGGCCTGTTTTCATGTACATTTTAAACTTATGAGCAAGTTGCAACAAGAAAAATTCAGAGCTCAAATGGTTAACTTGCCTTATAGAGTTAAATAAAGCTTTCTAAAGCTCTTTATTGTCCTCTTTTTCTGTCTGCCTTAGATCAAGGTGGTTTTATAATCACCTGTAGAACTCTAACAGGTGCTCTTGAGTGCAGGTTTCTAATAACTTTGGAAATTGTAACGTTAGAATAAAGAAAACACTTCCCAGACTCCCATTAAAAGCTAATGTGTTCATAAATATTGAGCAGAACAGAAGTTAATTACATAAACTAATGGAAAACTAAAAACAAAAAAACAAAAAAACTAAAAACTATAGTTATTTGCATATATTCATTAAAAATCTATTTTCTGGCTGTGTGCCATGGCCCATTATTTTCTGGCTGTGTGCCGTGGCTCACACCATGGCGTGAAAATCTATTTTCTATTTTCTGGCTGTGTGCTACGGCTCACGCCTGTAATCCCAGCACTCAGGCAGGTAGATTGTTTGAGCTTAGGTGTTCAAGACCAGCCTGGGCAATGTGGCAAAATCCTGTCTCTATGAAAAACACAAAAAATTAACTGGGTATGGTGGCACATGCCTATAGTTCCAGCTACTTGGGGGGCTGGGGCAGGAAGATTGCTTGAACCTGGATGGTTGAGGCTGCAGTGAGTTGCTATTGCGCCACTGCACTCCAGCCTGGGTGATAAAGCGAGACCCTGTCTCGAAAAAAAAGAAAAGAAAAGAAAAGAAAAAGAATCTGTTTTCTTTTGTAGCAGGTCACAGTTGGAGACACTGGTTATTTTTACCAAGCTTTAACTGGAATGGCATGCTTTTGGGGGGGATGGGGAGGCAAAATCAAAGTTAACTTATAAAGCCAATAAAAGTCCCTTGGAAAAGCTGGCCTCATACCTTATCTACGCAGTCCCTGTGCAGGGTTCCTAACCTGTGATAAGTAAAGAATGTCACTTTCTAACAGACCCAGGAGCCCCAAGTTGTCTTGGGACCTCAAGAGGAAAAGAATTTACCCAAGTCATACAGGTGTTTAATGGCACAAACCCATAACTGAGCTTAAGACATTAAAGTTAAATCTGAGATTCTCTATGGAATAAAGTTTCAGCAAAACCAAATTTAAAAAATAGAAGAGTCTATATGCAAAACAATTATTCTTGCTAACTTTATGCAAATACTCAAGCCAAGTATAATAAGACGAACACTTATTTTACCAATAGATTTTTTCCATTATAATTTGTTTTTAGTAAACTGGAAAGAAAAATTATGTTTCAAAAAAGCTGTAGTACATCTGTCATCAAATTCTAGTCTTGTCCACTGTTATAAAGTTTTTTATTATTTTCTACAATTTTAACCAAATCCTGAATTCCTTCTGGGCTACAAGTTCCCAATGCATTCAACATTTTTTTCCTTTTATTTTTCTAATGTAAACTAAATGGAGTTGCTATTACCTCTTTCCTAAGGTCCTGCAAACTGAAGTTCATTCTTTAAAATACAAGCAAAAGAATGAAAAGGGTAAGATGGCCACTGCCTTCCTCCTCTATAACTAAAAATGTGTTGAGTTTAACATCTGGATACATTGTGCCCAATGTTAATATTTGTTTTTTTCTTCTGTTTCCATAAAAATGCCTCTTATTAAAAATTAGTTTGCCTTCATCATATGTAGAGGCTGTAAGGCTCACCTCTACACCACAAACTCCAAGGGGTCTGGCCCTGTCCTAGGGGCTTTAATTCGAGCCCATTGCAATTACACCCTCAACTATAATCAGACACACCAGGAATGGGAGACAAGTTCACTGTGCACCTCCACAGGTTTTTTCTATGGTGGGGAAACAATGAAGTTAATGCCAGCAAAATGTGTAGTAATTCTTTCATACCTGTACATAGTTCAGCAACTGGAATGGAATAATATACACTAGTACATCTACAAACTTTTCCTTGATTTTCACTTATTGAATTAACATTTAGAAATCTTATCTCTCAGGCCCCACTTCTCCCACCTATAATAATGCTTATATTAGCTTATTTGTATTATGTATTATTAATGCAATATCTTGTTTTCTGTCTTCTAGAAGACAACAATTTCAAACTAAAATGTCACTGCAGTGAGGGTATCAGCCACTAAAAGAACTCCGTGACTCTCCTTTGGATACAGCAGGACAAAATTTTAGGCTACAAATGCTGCCCCCAACCCCATGGTTACACAATGACTCTGCCCAATTAACTCCCAAGCCAAGGATTTCGGCCCTTATAACCTCCTGACAGACTAACAGGATTAGGTCGGGCCAGCTCGATGCCTCTGGCCAGCAGAAAGCAGTTGGAAGATGAAATCTTCACCCACATGCTAAAGACTTCTTATTGTTGCTCTGTTAGTGGGGAGATGTGGAGTCCTAACCAGGGGAAGGGAGTCAGGTTTGCAGGACCAAGGGAAAGCAAAAAGAGAAAGCAGATAAGCTACAAGTCTGCCTTTCTCAAGGTCTGGGATACACAGCCCTCCTGTGCAAATAACTCACAGTCTTCCTGCACCCAGCTATCACAGGACACCTGCAAGTTAACTCACTGCAATCTTGGCATTACCAGTACTACACAAAGCCCTCTTCAGCACAAGCACTGCCCTACAAAATCTCCACAAGTCTTTGTTTCTCTGCAGTCAGCTTCTGCTGACTTGCCCATTGTCTCTCTGGCAATGTATTTTCCTACTTTCTCGAATAAATCTGCCTTTCTGTACCAACAACTGCCTTGGTAAATTCTTTTGTTGTTGTTGTTGTTGAGACGGAGTCTTGCTGTTGTTGCCCAGGCTGGAGTGCAATGGCGCGATCTCGGCTCACTGCAACCTCCACCTCCTGGGTTCTCCTGCCTCAGCCTCCAGAGTAGCTGGGATCACAGGCGTGCGTCACCACGCCCGGCTAATTTTGTATTTTTAGTAGAGACAGGGTTTCTCCATGTTTCATCATGTTGGTCATGCTGGTCTTGAACTCCCGACCTCAGGGGATCCGCCCGCCTCAGCCTCCCAAAGTACATGAGCCACTGCGCCCGGCCTGTCTTGGTAAATTCTTATACCCCCACACCACTGTCCTGGATAGTTGTTGCTCCCCACAACAAATACCATGAGCATCTCTATGCACATAAACTTTAGATGAAATGAACCAATTCCTAGAAAACTACAAACTGCTAAAACATGCACAAGATGAAACGGACATAATTAAATAATCCTATGACTATTAAAGAAATCAAATGAATAGTTAAAAGACTTCTAAAAAGAAATCTCCAGGCCCATATGATTTTACTGATGAATTCTACCAACTATTTAAATGAGAAGAAAACATTAATTTTATACAATCTCTGTCAGAAAATAGAAAAGGGATCCTTTCCAACTCATTTTATGAGGCTTTCATTACTATTATAACAAAAACAAAGATAGTACAAAAAAGAAAATTATAGACCACTATACCTACACCATTATGTGTTTTTGAATACAAAGAAATCAACAAAACATTTGCAAATCAGCAACGTATAAACAGAATAGTACAGCATGACATAATGGTGTTTATTATATGAGCAATGTATATAAAGAATAGTATAGGCCAGACACAGGGGCTTACTTCGGTAATCTCAGCACTTTGGGAGGCTGAGGAGGGGTGGATCACTTGAGGCCAGAAGTTCAAAACCAGCCTGGCCAACATGGCAAAACCCCGTTTCTATTAGAAATATAAAATTAGCCGGATGTGGTGGCACATGCCTGTAATTCCAGCTACTCAGAAGACTGAGGCAGGAGAATCACTTGAGCCTCGGAGGCAGAGGTTGCAGTGGGCTGAGATCGCACCACCCCACTCCAGCCTGGGCAACAAGAGTAACAAGAGTGAGACTCTTTCTCAAAAAAAAAAAAAAAAGGATAGTACAGCATGATATAATGTTTATTATACTAGCAATGTATACAAAGAATAGCACAGCAAGACATAATAATGTTTATTCCAGGAATGCAAGTATGGTTCAATATTGGGATCTCAACCAATGTAATCTACCATAGACTAAGGAGAAAAAAACCCACATGATCATATTAATTAATGTAGAAAAAGCACTTGACCAAACTTAATGTCCATTCATGGGGAAAATGAACCTCTTAGCAAGCTTGGAATAGGAAAAAAAGTCTTTTTTGTGTGTGTGAGACAGAGTCTTGCCCTGTAGAGAAGGGGTTTCACCATGTTGGCCAGGCTGGTCTCGAACTCTTGACCTCAGGTGATCCACCTGCCTCAACCTCCCAAAGTGCTGGGATTACAGGTAGGAGCCACCATGTTGGGCCGAAAAATATGTCTTTAATTTGACAACAGACATCTAAATATCTACAGCTATCATTATGCTATTCTCATAAAATTAAGAATGAGGCAAGGATGTCCATTCTCACCTAGTCAGTGCAATGAAAAGGAAAATTTACAAAAAGGCACACAAATTGGAAAGTATGCAATAAAACTATCCCTATTTGTAGATCATATGGTTGTATATGTAGAAAATTTCAAGAAATATATAAAAGAAAAAATAAAACAAGGCCAGGCATGGTGGCTCACGCCTGTAATCCCAGCATTTTTGGAGGCCTAGGTGGGTGGATCACCTGAGGTCAGGAGTTCGAGACCAGCCTGGCCAACATGGTGAAACCCCATCTCTACTAAAAATACAAAAATTAGCCGGGCGTGCTGGAGGGTGCCTGTAATCCCAGCTACTCGGGAGGCTGAGGCAAGAGAATCACTTGAACCCAGAAGGCTGCAGTGAACCAAGACTGTGCCATTGCACTCCAGCCTAGGCAACAAGAACAAAACTCTGTCTCAAAAAAAAAAAAAAAAAAAAAAAAGGAAAGAAAATAAAAGAAAAAAGAAAAAGCAAAAAACCTTCTAGAACTAATAAGAGAATTTAGCAAGATACAAGGTCAATGTGTAAAGGTAAATTGTCTTTTTATATACCAGCAAAAATTCACAGTAGATCCTCAAATAAAATAATCTCACAAAACATGTACATGCTCTCTATGCTGAAAACTAAAAATAGCTGATAAAAGACACCAAAGAAGGTCTAAATAAATGGAGAAAGACACCATGTTCATGAATTAGAAGAATCAATATTAAAAAGATGACAATTCTTCCCAAATTTATACATACACTTAATAAAATTGCAATCAAAATCCCAGAGAATTTTTGGGAGACATAGACAGGTTGATTCAAAAAATTTATACAGAAAAGCAAAGAAGCTAGAATAGTTAGAACAATTTTGAAAAAGTAGAATAGATTGGATTTACCCTGCACAATTTTAAAATTTACTCTAAAGGTACTTTAATTAACAAACACAGTATGATATTGGCAAAGGAATAGATGCAAGATAAATGAAACAGTAGAGAGAATGAGAGGAATAGATCCACATACATATGGCCAATAGATTTTTTAATCCTTTTTAAAATTAATAGACTATTATTATTATTACTCTTATTATTATTCGTGACAGGATCTCACTGTTGCCCAGGCTGGACTGAAGTGGCACAATCATGGCTCACTGCAGGCTCGACTTCCTGCTCTCCAGTGATCCTCCCACCTTGGCCTCCCACAGCTGGTACCATGGGTGTGCACCACCATGCCCGGCTAATTTTTTTATTTTTGGTGGAGATGGGGTTTTGCCATGTTGCCCAAGCTGGATTTGAACTCCTGAGTTCAAGCTAGCCACCTGCCTCGGCCTCCCAAAATGCTGGGATTACAGGCGTAAGCCACTGTGAGTCTGTGCCTGGCAAGACTTAATTTTTTTAGAATAGTTAAGATTTCTAGAAAAATTAAGCAGAGCAGGGCAGCGCAGGGTCGCCATGGTGGAGCTGCAGCAGCTGCAGGTACAGGAGGTGGTGGACTCCACGGTGAAGAGTCTGGAAAGAGAGAACATGCAGAGCACGCAGGGTCTCATGTTCAGGTGCAGTGCCAGCTGTTGTGAGGACAGCCAGGCATTCACACAGCAGGTGTATTTCAACCCTGATAACTTGCTACGGTCACTTATTTTAGTAGCCTTTTATAGGTGCCATTGAATTTTCTACATAGACAATTGTATCTCTTGCTACTAATGACAACATTTCTTCTTCCTTTCCAATCTGTTCTTTCTCTTGGCTTACTGCACTGAGTAGAACCTACAGCAAAGGGCATTTTTTCCTCAGTGTGATATTAGCTATAGGTTTTTCACAGATGCTCTTTATCAAGTTGAAAAAGTTCTCTTCTATTTCTAGTTTGCTGAGAGTTTTTATCAGAAATGGATGTAGGAATTTGTTAAATGCTTTTTTTGTATCTTTGAGATGATCATATTTTTGTTTAGATTGTTAATACCGTGGCATGGTGGCACATGCCTGTAGTCCCAGCTACTCAGGTGGTTGAGGCTGGAGAATCACTTGAGCCCAGGAGGTAGAGGCTGCAGTGTACCATAATCATGCCTGTAAACAGCCACTACACTCCAGCCTGAAAAACACAGGGAGAACACAACTTGAAAGATCAATAGCCAAGGTGTTTGTTTGTTTGAGATGGAGTCTCATTCTGTTGCCCAGGTTGGAGTGCAGTGGCATGATCTCGGCTCACTGCAACCTCTGCCTCCCCGGTGCAAGAGATTCTCCTGTCTCAGCCTCCCCAGTAGCTGGGACTACAGGCGGGCGCCGCCGTGCGCAGTCAACTTTTGTATTTTTAGTAGAAACAGGGTTTCGCCATTTTGGTCAGGCTGGTCTTGAACCTCTGACCTCAAGTAATCCACTCATCTTGGCCTCCCAAAGTGCTGGGATTACAGGTCTGAGCCACCACAACTGGCCTGGTTAAGGTTTTTATACTCGGCATGTTTTTATGACAATAAAAATATTGGGGGAAGAAAACAGACAACTTAGAGTGTGTGACTAGGGGTTAATGTGAAGACACTGCATGATCCACGTTGTGTCCAAACAACAATTTTAACCTATCAATTGTCTTTACAGCGTAACAAAAAGGACAGAGACATAGCTGTGCTTATCTCCTAAACTAAAATCTGGAGCAGAGCCTGACCGAGCATCTTCCGGGGCCCACTCCTTATCTCCAGCTATCTAGAGCACAGGCATAGGGCTGGGGTCTGCAGAATACTGCAAGAAGTGAGGTGGGCGCGGAGGAGTGGGCTCCACCCAGGCCAGGTGCCCTGTGGACATAAAGGAAAAGAGCCTAATTGTGGCTGAAGCTGAGTTGGGGGCAAATATGGGGTTTAACAGAGTGGGGCACTGTCACCCCCTAAGGAGTCAGACAGCTCTGATCACTCCAAACATTCAAAGGTGAGTTCAAATCCTTCCCCATTCGCTTGACTTCACTGGACAGCTGGGAACCTGCATCTTTGGTGACTCAATATCCCCACTCTGGTTCCCTAAGGACAGACTCTGAATTGATTCCAGGAAACCATGCATCCAGGGAAACACTACACTTCCTAGGCTGCCTTGCAGTTGAGATGGCCAGTGAGGTGTCAGCAGAAGTGACAGGCAGGGCTTCCGGGAAATACCCTCAAGAAGCTAACTCAGCTGGGGCTGGGAGGTGTGGAGCTAGTTCCACAGCTCTCTTCCCAGCTGGACTGTGGGATGATGCTAGGGCTCAGTCAGCCTTCTTGTCGTCCTGGGGATGGAGGCTATGCACCAAGGGCAGGGAGCAGAAATACCAAAGGAACCTGGATTCCTGAGGCTCTCTTGGGGCTGCAAGACCGTGGTGGATTGCTAACCGCAGATATTTGTGTTCATGTATTTTCCACGCAGAAACATCTACAATGGCACTGAGTCTGTA